CAATATAAAGTGATCTTAATAAGCTTAGAATATAATTCTCACATTAAACAAACTTATATTTATAATAAAGTTTAGATGTCTGAATGACATTAACAGTTACATACATTTTGTAATGCCATCTAAAAGGCTTTACTTGAACAGTAAAATTTCTGACTACTCTACTAGTCGCGGGTTCTGGCTTCAAAAAGCATATGTATGTATCTGTTTTGATTCTTAAATTATAGAGCTATACATACATATATCAGATGTGTTGTAACCCCTGACGAGTGATATGGAATGCTTCATTTCTAGTAAAAAGAGGGATTGATTTCTTCATAAAAACCTTAAAAAAAGTTGAAGTTAGCACTCCAGGGCACAGGTGTTCGCTCATTCCTGAGAGGGTTTTAGGGCAAGGAAATGTCCGCCACGCTGCCCCAATGCGTGGTGGTGCCCTTCACATGTGTTCGAATGTTTTCTTCTCGGATATGCATGTTTCCTCAAGATGTTTTCCTTCACCGCCTAGCGCGTTGTAAATCAGCACTTAAAATTTTAATTATCACTTTCATTGTTGCCGGCGGGGATTGAACCTGGTTTACTCGCGTACTGTAAAATTTATAGCGAGCGCTAACCATCTGAACTACCACGGCGCCTTTGTGGACTTATATTTAATTATTGGTTAAAAATTTCAATTTAAAAATATATTTTATGTAATCATAAATGACCAAGTGGTGGCGATGTAAGAATATCCACTTCTCCATATCATCCCGTGGGTTTCGTAAGTGTCGATAGAGGAAAACAAATCAGGAGATGGGCAGCAGCGACTTGTGTGTGTGTGGTGTATGTTCAAAAGTAGACTTATGATAGGCTGTAAAGGTGGAAAGGTAAAGTCATAAATATTATGTTATATATTGATATTATGTTATATGTTATATATCGATTAACAAAGATTAATCTACTTTCTTGGTGTGGTTTCGGACATTACGGGACATTAGATTTATTACGGACGGTTTTTAATTTATTTATACGCGGTAGAGCCGTGGTATTGCTCTATATTATGGTTGTAGCACGAATAAGACAGCCTGAACGGGGAAGGACCGCAAGCTCGCTTACCACCAGCGTAAAATAGCAGCCTAATGCTACTCGGTTTCGTATGGCGACTGTAGACAACCGGACACCCATATTACTGGAAAAGAGGCATTCCATGTTAGTCTTCAGGAGTGACATTGCATCTGCATTTGAAATTTTAATTGAGGATAGATGTGGCCACGGCATTCACTTGCCATATGTGCTCGCTCATCACCCTAATGCTTTAAAAAATATTTTTTCCCCCCTAAATTTTTTATGTTTTTTTTTTTGTGTTCATTTTAACGTTCTTACTTCAAGGCACTTGCGTATTTCGGAGCCCCTTAGGGATATGATTAAGGATATGATTTTTGAAGAATTTATTCCAAATAATTTCAAATTAATCATGTGAAATAATAATTTAAGTATGTATTTAAAAAATACGTTTTAAAATAGCATCATGCTATAAGCAGGAGTGCTGCCAGGCTTGGGCTGACGCATCAGCGTCCCGGGATGTAAATACCAGCGCTCTAAAAAAGAAGTATAATTCCGCCTCTAGGTCCTACAAAAGTGTCATTGCCAAGGCAAAGTCAGAGCACATAGGCAGAATTGGCGAGAAACTAGTTCGCCTTCCTTCTGGAACCCGTGCATTCTGGTCTCTCGCCAAGGCTGTCCAGGGGAATTTCTGTCAGCCATCTCTTCCATCTCTGCACAGGGAGGACGACTCACTGGCCCATACCGCAAAGGAAAAAGCCGATCTTCTAGGCTCTTTCTTTGAGTGTAACTCGACTCTTGATGACGGGGGGAGTACGCCGCCGTCCATCCCGTGGTGTGAGTGCTCCATGCCGGAAGTGTAGTTCACACAGCGCTCGGTTCGCAAAGCACTCCTCTCCCTGGACATCCACAAGTCGAGTGGACCTGACGGAATCCCCCCAATTGTGCTGAGGACGTGTGCTCCAGAGTTGGCACCGGTTTTAAGGCGTCTTTTCCGGTGCTCCTACTCCCTAGGCGTAGTCCCAAAATCATGGAAGACGGCTTTCGTCCACCCGATCCCTAAAAAAGGCGACCGCTCAGACCCGTCCAACTACCGGCCTATCACCATCACCTCCTTGTTCTCCAAAACAATGAGTCTATTGTAAACTGTCAGCTCATGATGTACCTTGAGGATCACCAGCTGATTAGTGACCGACAATACGGTTTTCGCCGTGGTCGGTCAGCTGGTGATCTTCTGGTCTACCTAATTCACAGATGGGCGGAGGCAGTTGAGTCCAAGGGGGGAGGCATTGGCCGTTAGTTTGGACATTGCGAAGGCCTTCGATCGGGTTTGGCACAAAACGCTTCTTTTGAAGCTCCCTTTCTATGGGCTTCCCGAGAAATTGTGCGATTGGATCACCAGCTTTCTTGCAGATCGGAGCATCAAGGTCGTTGTCGACGCTGCAAGCTCCGATTGCAAGCCTATTAATGCTGGTGTTCCACAGGGCTGCGTGCTATCGCCAACGCTGTTTCTTCTGCATATCAATGATATGTTGCAAACCCGTAACATTCATTGCTATGCAGATGACAGCACTGGTGATGCTCTTTACACCGGTCGAGCCAATATTTCTCGGGAAAACGTCTCCGAGTGCCGGAATAACCTTGTGTCTGAAGTCGAGTCTTTGCTGAACAGAGTCTCGGATTGGGGGCGACTAAATCTAGTCCAGTTTAACCCCCAGAAGACACAAGTTTGCGCGTTAACCGCTAAAAAGAACCTCTTTGTCGTATCCCCTCAGTTTCAAGGCACTCCCCTTGTTGCCTCAGCCAGTATTGGAATCCTCGGCGTCGACATATCGAGTGACGTGCAGTTTCGTGGGCACTTGGAAGGGAAGGCCAAATTGACCTCTAAAAAGCTTGGCGTGCTCAGCAGAGCGGGACAGTATTTCATGCCGGCACACCGCCTGCAACTTTACAAGGCGCAGGTTCGGCCGCACATGGAATACTGTTCCCATCTCTGGGCTGGGGCTCCCCAGTATCAGCTCCTTCCACTTGACCGCATCCAGCGCAGAGCGGCTCGAATCGTCGACGACCGAGTGCTTTCCGATCGGCTCGATTCACTGGCATTGCGAAGAGATGTTGCATCTCTTTGCATTTTCTTTCGGATATTCCATGGAGAGTGCTCTGAGGATTTGTTCGAATTAATCTCAGCCGCCAAATTTCGTGAACGCACTACGCGGCAAACGTCCCGATACCATCCACACCACCTGGATGCTTGGCGGTCCACCACTGTACGTTTCAAAAGGAGTTTTCTTCCGCGTACAACCTTTCTGTGGAATAGTTTACTACCGGCGATTTTTCCGGACCGATACGACCTGGGACCTTCAAGAAAAGAGCTTACTCCTTTCTAAAGGGCCGGCAACGCACCTGCAATTTCCCTGGTGTTGCGGTTGATCATGGGCGGCGGTAATCACTTAACATCAGGTGAGCCGCAGGTTCGTTTGCCCCCTCTTCTATAAAAAAAAAAGATTTTATGGTAGACACGAACATATTAAAGTTGTGTTCAACTTCCCTTTCTAAAATTTAAGTCGAAAAATTAAATTTAAATCTCACATTTGTATTTTCAGCTAAATTACAGTAATTTTTAATTATTATAAGCGTTTAATTACTCTAAGCCAAATACCCGACGTTGTCGAAGATGATAAAGCGCACGGAATTGATAATTAAGTCTTGCTTATTTAACGTGAAACAGTCACAGTAAAAACCTCAATAGCAAACGATGTGATTCCGTATGTTCCATTTTTGTGAATTTGTAACGGAACCCTAAAAGCACCATTACTGACATTGTGGTATTCTTGGGCCATCATTCATGAAAAATGAGCCATAAAATAACTATATCATATCTCAACATCGAAGGAGTGAAGTGTCAAGGCTGACACAATGGCCCTCAGAAGGATTGAGTGGCTTATTTATAATCCTCGCGTATAAAAAAATGCTGGTAAAGAATTTTATCCCGTCGATCTTTTATAATCCTTAAACTTGTCTTAGAGCTTTTAAACGCAAAATACCTAACATTATTTAAATATTTTTTCATATTCTTTTATGATATGAGTTAATAAACTTTTCTTGTTGTTTTAAATGAAATTGGTTAAAATGTAGTTAAAAAGCGTTAATCTTTTTAAATTATATTAAGCCTACTTAAAAATATGATTAGTTTAATATGCAGCGATTCTTCGAGTTCTCGGGAAAGTCAGGAACTTTAACTCTTCAATACGCAAGCTACTATGTGTAAATTATTATTATTTTTTTAGTTTTTAAAGTAGGCTCTTACTGTTTATTACATGGTTAATTTTTAATATTTTTTATGATTTATTCTCATGGCTGACAATGCATACTTTTGTAAAAAACTAAATTAAGATTTTTGGACTTGCGATAAGCTTGTATTTGAATGAAATGAATTTAAAAAGGTGTATGTACAATACTGCAAGCCGTGCACCCTCTGGATAAATTCTCGGCGACTCTCATCATCATCGTCGTTATAGCCTAGCAAAGTCTAGTGCTGAAAGTAGACCTCTTCCTAATATACTGAGAGGCCAAGATGGTTCACACAGAATAATTTCCAGAGTGATGAGAAGAGGCTCTATAAATCACTGGAGCAGCCATTGGTACGTGTAACAGGCCAAGATTGTATTATTTTAGATTGCCTCGTTGGATATTTGGCAAAATTAAATGCCAAATAGCCATATGAAAATCGTAAATCACATCATTATTAGTGATGTGGCGATTCCACCAGTGCGAGGTTGTTAGCTATGTGCTAACCAACCCAATGTGATGAGAAGAAGCAAATCTCTCTATTAATTGCCTTTTCGCGTATCCTTGTATATACACATGTTAATTTAATAGGATTGGTTAAAAATAAATAAATATATAAAAAAGTGAAATTAAAATGAAAAATATATTATGTATCCCCTCATTATTTTTAAACTCACCAACGAATACGCCGAGTAATAATAACACGACCATTTTCATTGCACCAACGTCACATTTATACGAAACTCATAGCATTGAATTAAAAATTCATATCACATTTTCAAGAGCCAACAATTCACATTTTATACTTTCATATTTAAGTGTAACATATTTCGCGAATTGCACATCGTTGTCGCAGCGTGGAAACTATTCAGAGTATATTACGAATACGTGTCTAATGTATTTATTCCAGAGAGAAACATACGTCCGTTCTCCACCACCGCCGGATGAAAACTGAGTGCGACGGGAATGTCAAAATGATAAGATACGTCCAAAGGTTGCGCGCGACTTTTAGTCAGTCACCCCATTTTAGGTTTGAAATTTACACGAGCAAACTTGTTTCAGCAGATAATATATATAATACTTACTGTCTTATTTAAAGTTCGTTATGTTGCATTCGCCTTGAAATTTCAGACTTAAGTTCATTTTACATTAAAGTCGTTATTATTTCTTATCCCTATTTACATTTAAATAATTTATATACATAACGTTCAAATGTATACAATATTAAAAATACATAATAAAAATACTGAAACAAAAATACTTAAATGATCATACATTCCTACAACCATAACATATTGCCAAGGCTGCGATTCCTCGCTGAATAGCTATACTTGAGTTTAGAGCGAGAAAAGAAGCAGCCTTATTGTCACCAGCAGCAACGAACAGTCGCTGAAACAGTTATTTTCGGAACTTCACCGATAATAAAGCATAAATATTGCTTTTATAAATTATCTATCTCTGTCTGCGACCATGAATTTTTTTCATCAGTCAATTCATTACATCTCATTAAAAGTTCATTGCTGAACAAAGGTTTTCTTCATAAATTGCCTACTAAACTGTCCTGGCTTAGTCACAGTTGCCACGCTTATCAGGCGGGCTTAGAAGCTTGTAATTTTGAGTGGTTATCAGTAAGATACTGCTGCCTATCTCACATGATGATGTGGGTTGTAAGTTTCTTACGTCGCCACTACAACACCTTTCGTCGACTCATAAAAACGAAAGAAATTTCTCACAAACTTATTAGTTAAAAATATAAAGATAACTTGTTTTTAACGCTAGATACAAATGTCATCTAATTTATTAATTTTTGAAACTATTTTGAATTAAAATCGGCGATATGTTTTTAATATTGAAAGGCATTCGTTTTTTGAGGAATATTGGTCCCGTGGGTGTCGTAAGAGGCGACAGAGGGAAGCTGTAACAGGAGATGGGTAGCAGCAGCTTCCTGATAACAACTCAAAATTTTAAAATAAATCTGTTCTTACCAACCCGCTAGCATAGCTTGGCAACTCTGGCAAAATTCCCCTTTTAAATAAAGAATGGAACTCGTATTGTTTTGCCCGTGATAAAGTGTAAAACCGATCCCATCAGTGTTATTGTCAGCCTTTGTGGACAATTGTGGCTGGTTTCACTTTGTTGTTTGACATTTGGTTTCATTGTTGATTTATAAAATAAATGTATTGTTCAATATCGGTAATACGCTGACAACCTTTTAATATTAATATTTCATTTTAGGTTGTGCAGCAGAGAACTTTAGATAGACTGTAACGATAATGATATAGTGTGAATAATTAATGAAATATTGACTTTTCTATTACTTTTCTACATCTGTTTTAATGAATGCGTATTAACATAAAATTTTTTAGTGTTACAATGTATCAAAAGTTCATAGCTGAACATAGTCTACCCCTATATATTGCCTTATATAGGGTTATTTGCCAGAGTTGCCACGCATGGTAGGTAGGTTGGCAACAGGAGTTTTTTATGTTTAATTATTATTTTTATGTTTAATTATTATTTATAAGGGTGACGTTGCTGCCCGTTTCCTGATTTGTTTCTCTTCATCCTCTCTTACGACACCCTCGGGACTATACGGGGTAGTGGATATTCTTAAACCACCACTACATATACCATTTATTTAGCTTATTAATTTTTATTTATTTGAATTAGTTGACTGACTTGTTGATAAGGATAAACGTGTCAGTCAACTAATTCGAATAAATAATGATAAGATCTATATAATGGTGCGAATGTGATGAAGATCAGTTATTGGGTTCTTCCGGCAAAACGTTTTCACTAACATTAAGAAATTACGTGGTGTTTCACCTCCTTTCCTTGGAAAGAAGATAAAACCATTGGTCCTGGTCAGATCACTCTTCGGTCGTGTCGGATTGCCGTTGAATTAGACTTTGAGAGTGGTGGAATAGATAGTATACCTGTGCTTATGCACTTGAACACTGTCTTGGACAAATGACTAGTAATCATCACATGAGCCACTGTGAACTAAATTGATTTCTAGAGACCTTACTGCCATATGGAATGTATCTATCGAATTTCATTATCACAAAAACATCTGTCAACTACATAATCCATCACGATTTATTAAAGATTTATTTCTGACGCATTTAACCTCGATTTCCCTCGTAGTAAAGACACTCAAGCTCTCAAAAAGACCTCATCAAGTTCCTTCGGTCTTTTCGAGGATCATCTTGAAGCTATTGTGAGCTTTCGTTGTATTGAACCAATTGAATCAATTATTAAATAGTACCCGGTTGACCGTTTCTTTTTTTTTAATTCGTGTGTTTTGGAAATTTTATTTAGATACAAATCACATGCTGGTGAAATACGAATAATATTTTTTTTGTTCTTAGCGACATAATAGAAAAAACTGAACTGGTTATTTGTATAAAAAATCATGAGTGCAATTAGTTTAATTTAAATTTTCGTATTTTTAAAAAATACTAAAAAAGGGCTCGAAAAAATAGATTTTCTCAAAAAAGAAAGGAACTTGAAAAAAAAAATTAGAAAAAGTCGGTAGGGCGGTCTGGGCTCGAACAATGGTATTACGATTCTGTGACCGCCCAAACATCAATTAATTTTACCTTCTTATTCTAAGGTTTTTCATTTCAAAACACACAAAAGACATTTTCTAAAATAAATCCTAGCTAGATCGATTTATTGCCCCCGAAACTCCCTGCACACTAAATTTTATGAAAATCGATAGAGATTCCGATTACAATATATATTTATATATATATGCAAGTATTGCTAGTTTAAAGGTATAGGATATTTAAATTATTTAATGTGACATAAATTTTCTAAGAATAAAACAATAACTGCAACCTTGCCATCTAGATGGTGATGGTAGTTACTTATTTAAGCCTGAAGAAGGCAAGATACTCTATCTTACTTTTGAACATTTTTTAAAATACATCACTCAAAAAGAAAGTATATAACGCATTTAATGATTGATTACCGTAAAGATAATAATATAATATATAATAAACTAATGTTTCCATTATATTTATATTTAGGATAATAAGATGGTTATCCTAAAGATAGATAGATTTGATTAGATTAGGTTAACAAGATATATGTACCTAAATGGAATTGCATGCAATGTAATTCTATTTTAGTACATATATCTTATTTACAATCTGTAAAATGAAACATGTTATAATTTTTTAAAGAATAAGGGTGACAAACGAGCACACAGTTCACTTCATGGTAAGTGAATTATGTGGCCCATGGACATTTACACCTATCCTCTATTTAGAATCAAAATTAAGATGCGTTAGCACACCTTAAACTAATACGAAAAAAAAGTTAAGTTAAATAAAGTTTCCAGTTGAAAGAGTTTTCTGCTTATATCTACTAGCTACTATTTTACGCGTGTATTCTGTGAGAGTGGTCCTTCCCCGGTCAAGATGACACATTCGTGCTACAATTATAATAAAAATACTGAACAAAAAATCGCCAAGGACGTAATTCGTTTTAGTTATTTTCTCTGTATGATTAGAACTGAACTCTAAGTAATAATTATTACATGTTAAAATTCATAAGTGCCTTGTTTATTGTCTACGTAAGTAAATAAATTGTTTTCATTTGATTTGAACAGTTCTCAACGCGCATGTGTAGACATTTCTCGTAAAACAATATTTTAACGGTCATAATTTTAATGTCTCGGCTATGAAACGGCGATAAAACGAAATTACCTTAACCTTGTTTTCGGACTCATTTTAACCATAAAGAAATAATACCCTAGACGGTTATATATTCGTCGCGAATGTTTTTATTTGTTTATGTTTACCGAATTGTCTAAAACGCTATTTTAGACGATTCGATATTTACCGTATCGGATTTACTCATTATTTTTTGAGAAACATTAGTGTCAACTTCATTACCTATTGAGAGGAAAACATTTTTTTATATTTTTGGGTGCGGTTTTTCTTTTTATAAGAGTTTAAAAACAATTTTTGTATAGCTTAAGAGTGACAAAAGAGCACACAGTCCACTTGTTGGTAAGTGGTCGCTGTGGCCTATAGCCATCTATATATCCTCGATAACGAATCAAAATGCAGATGCGTTTTCACCTGTTTAGTCTAAGATGGAATGCCTCGTTTGCAGTAAAAAGAGTACGAATCACAGCAGCGTTAAACTGTTATTTTACGCTGGTATTCTGTGAGAGCGTGGTCCTTCCTCGATCGAGCCGACCCGTTGGTGCTACAATTAGACTACTAATATAGCTGTAGCATGGCTGTACGACTTAATTTTTTTATCAAATAAGTTCGCTTTTTATCTTAAATTTCCAATTTTTATGTTATAACTTAGGTGAGACTTTGTCCGTCACTAGATTTGTGGAAAGCTGTAATAATAATGATAGTGAAAGTAGTAAAAGACCAAGATAATTGTTAAAGCAATGATTCTCGACTCTATAGAATACTCATCCATTCATAAGAAATATTAACGCTTTTATAACAAAGTCACAGAAAATATACGTATAAAGTTGGTCCATCAGTAAATTAAAATTAATTATTATTTATCAATTATATGATTCATTATATTATTCATCAATTATAAATAATTAATATTAATTAATACGTGTTTGATAATTACCGGCTAATTTTACTGTGGTTGTTAGATTTATACGAGGTAGAGGTAGTTTTATGCAATTTCATATATATTTAACGTAGGTAGTTGTTGCACAAATG